AAAAAAAAATTTTTTTTGAAAAAAAAAAGTTGAAAAAAAAAATTATTTTACCAAAATCAATTATTTTGTTAAGGCAAGTAGATTAGTTCTTCGAATCATTTAAATCGGACGCTTTAGTTCTCCCAAAAACTGCCATTTTTACACATTTAGCTCCGTATCTTCGAAATGGCTGGGCCTGCCTTTGCCAAAACTAAACACTTCTCCCAATCATTACTAATTAAATGTTTTTTAGATCATTCAAATCGGATGCTCCGTTCTCTCAAAAACTCGATTTCTATTTTCTGCACTCTTTGCTCGATATCTCCGAAACGGCTGGACCTGCCTTCGCAAAATCTAATCAGCACATATCTCTATCAATAGGAATCGAATGTTCTTTGAACCATTCAAATCGGTTGATCCGTGCGCCCGAAAACGTGGACTAAAAATTGTAGCCATACATACATACACACACACATCCATTTTATCTGAGGTATGCGAAAATGTTCAGAAACCTTCAAAACGTGAAGAAATATAAAAAATTTCAATTTCGATTTTTGGACGATTACAATAACTTACCCTACGGGAAGTTAATATTGTCAAAATGCCATGTGCTTGCTGTGCAGACAGGAGTTTTAGACATAAAACCTAATCCAGAAAACGCACAAATGTCAAAAAAACTATGTTATCATGACTGCATCTTTGTGATATGGCATAATAACATATGAGTAAAGTTGCATACATGGTATTTTGACAGTATTTGGTGGTACCCATAATATCTTTACTGTTAGATTTACACTTATCTATTTCCAATAACAATTTTAAGTAAACCATCTCCTTCTTACCTCAGTGCCCTGGATAATTTATCGTAGTTCATGTTCGGCTTGCTCTTCCTCTCGCCCCATCTTCGGGCAACCTCGTCAGGATCCGTCAGCTTGAATTCGCCGTTGGTGCCCTCCCACGTGATGCAACCAGCGTTCGTCGAATCGCTCAGCAGCTCCAGGAGAAATTGCCAGAGCTGAATCTGGCCTGAACCTGGGGAAAGGAAAACGATGGTGGATGAAAGATGAAATACTTTTGTTTATTGCAGTTTTAGGAGTATACTGATTGTGGTAATAGACAATGTAGTAGATTATTTAATTTGGTGAAAACATAAACATATCCTCCAAAAAGTTACCAGAATTACATTGCTTTTTTATTAACCAATTTGCCAATAGGCCAATAAAACAAATAAATTAAACCATTAATTGGCAACAATGTCGACTCATGAGTCATTTACAAAAGACCAATAGGCCTATTACTCATAACCAACTATCATTTTCCAGAGGGGGCGCTCGTGTTCCTTTTAACAAATGATCAATAATTACACTAACATGACTCCAGATTTAAGTCGCCGAAGGGGGCGCTCTATTGAATAATGAGGGAATGATGGATTGTCATGCGACCGTCACGCCTCTCGCGCACGCCGAATGAACTAACACATTTTGGACGACCCTCTTAAAAGGGTTCCGTAACAGATAGAAGATTATAATGAACTAACTAGAAGATTATAATAGAAAAGGAAACTGAAATGGATTCTACAGGCTAAGTTTCTAGATAACATTCTACATGAGAATGTATGTGTTTTTACAAGAAAATCCAACTTGCTAACTTAAAGTTTTCTAAGCGTTTCAAATATTTCTTAGACTACAGAATAGAACTAGTGGTGTATGACATCGTGTCTTAAGGCAAACTGCTAGAACTTCCCGCACCGTAATGAAACATTCGTAGAATATAACCCATAAAAGGGTTCCGCAACAGATAAAAGATTATAATGGGCCAGTTTATGGAGAGAAAAGGAAACTGAAAGGATTCTTCAGGTTAACCATCTCGAATGAGAGGTTTTGTGTATTTGCTAGAAAATTCAAATTGATAGTTTTATGCTTTCAGAAGTTTCAAGTCATGCTTAGTAGTTTTACACCAAAATGGAACTAGTGGTGTATGGCATCGTGTCTTTTGGCAAATTGCTGGAACTTTCCGCACCGTAATGAAATATTCAAAGAATATTTAGAATTTCAGATATAAACTAGTGCGGTGTATGGCATCATGCCTTAAGGCAAATTGCTGGAACTTCCCGTACCGTAACAAAATGTTCGAGGAATACTGAATGTTTTCAAATAGATTATTATAAATATTGCAACATTGCCTAATATTTATAAGAATTATATAAACTGAATTGCACCGTTGAAATTATTTGTTTAAAGTATATTAGAACTTTAGTCAGTATTAAAAATGAAATCTGAATCATTTTCGATATACAAAATTTTTTTTTTTGAACAAAAAAGTTGAAACAAATTTTTTCCAGAATCAATTATTTGTTAAGACAAGCAGAAAGTTCTTTGAATCATTTAAATCGGACGCTTAGTTCTCTCAAAAACTGCAATTTTTTACGCATTTAGCTCCGTATCTTCGAAATGGCTAGGCCTGCCTTTGTCAAAAACTTATAAACACTTCTCCCAATCGGTACTAATGAATATTTTTTAGATCATTCAAATCGGATGCTCCGTTCTCTCAAAAACTCGATTTCTATTTTCTGCACACTTTGCTCTTTATCTCCGTAACGGCTGGACCTGTCTTTGCCAAAAACTATTAGCTCATCTCCCTATCAATAGAAATCGAATGTTTTTTGAACCATTCAAATCGGTTGATCCGTGCACAAAACACACACATAAACACATTCATTCATTATTTCTAAGGTATGCCAAAATGTTCATAAAACTCTCAAACGTAAAGATATGCAAAAAATTCGATTTTTGAAAGATTACTATAACTTACTCTACAAAAGTTGAAAAAGTTTGTGTATGAATGTAAAAGCCATTTCATAGAACTCAGTAGGAACTCATGGTGATTAGTTTTGGGAGACGATCGTGCAAGCCATTTCTTATCATTGGTAGAAAAGTGTAAAAATTTTTCATTCACGTAGTCTACTTCCTTAGCCAAATCTAAATTTTTATTCATGAAGTAGATAATTTGAACTGATCGGGAAGTTCATGCAACTTGCATTAAGACTAAGGTGACTATACGTCCCAATTTGGCCGGAACAGTTTCGGATTTCCACCTTGTGTCCCGGGTTTTCTAAAAACATCATTTACCCTGGATTTAGATGTTTTGTCGTTCTCTGTTACTTGATAATAAAATTACAATTACCTATCTGAGAATATCCCGGTTTTGACTTAATAAAACTATGATCACTTTACTTAAGAAAAAATACCACTTACACCTAGTAGTTCCATATAATAGTTGCAAAAATAAAACTATATCAAATTCTGAGCTCAAAACTATAATTATTTATCTCACTTTAATTTATTTCTAACAATTACCTTCTAACCCTTAAAATCAAAAGTTGCCACCTGGCGGTCAAAGTAATTAATATTCATTTCTATCCAAATCACTGACTATTACATGGGGGCCGCATGCAAAAACGGGGCTCGTGCTATTAACGGTTACTAAACATATTTATTGGCCAGGTGTAAATTGGAATTCGAAATTAATTTTAATTAAAACAAAGCGACCAGGTGCGCGAAACGAACTGTTGGGGCGCTGCGGTCGCTGATTTCAGATGAAATTTTAGATAAGGGTAATAGATAAAAAATGTAGATACAATTTTGAGGTTAGGTTATAGATTGGAATTGGATTTATGTGAGATTTTTTGAGTTTTTGAAATAATTGCCAACCTTTTTGGGAAAAACGTCAAATTTTGGCTCACATACCCACTTGAATATTGTTTCCAATTTCGGGGTCAAACGATTTAGAATGACTTGGAACATCGAGCAAGCATAAATCTAGTCAATCGAATTATCTAGCTAAAACATAATCTCCTTCTAAAAATATTATGTAATTCACAATTTAAAATTTTCATCCATCTATTACCAACTACACTCCTATCAATTTAAATTTATTCACTCTATTAAAGTGTCAACAGCAACACCCACCAATCAAAAGTCATTCTAAGGGGGCCGCCTCGTCCTGAGACTCCCGTTAGAAGGAACATTAACTGTCGCGTGTCTGACGGACAGGAATCAAGGGGGCCCCCGTAGTATTCGGGCATCGAGACACGTGGCGCTCTATTAGTTTTCATACGAAAATATGTTTGATAATGTTTCATAAAGGGTGGGGTCATTGTAAAGGGACTAATGGAAGACACAATGTTTATGGAAATATTAATATTAGTGATTTAAAATAAACTGATAAATCTGCCTTCAGATGCAACACCAATACTATTCCTAGACAATATTAGAATACCCTGTGTGGATACTATTAGTCTATTACTGAATTTTGTTTCATGTGTCAAAAATTCATTTGTCTGGCATTGGATATGGAATATTTAGTTGATCCTAGATTGAATAGTGCACATATGAACTAGTTTTTACAAATTAATTCACCTAAGATTTGAACATAAACAATAATGTTTATTAAATTATTAGTAAGAAAAATGTACTTGTATCATTTTTTCCCAATGTTGGTACGTAATGAAGTTAGCAATGATCCGTCCATTGACTATGTGCAAGTGTGGATGTAACACGAATCCCTATATAGTATAGTCAATGATTCTATAGGCTAACTGTTCGGTAATTGATGGCTTTGCCATTTACAGGGGGGCTCTGCCGTTTAGCCTTCCACTAAATCATCTCTATTATCGACTCGTGTGCCCCCCACAATATATATATATATATATATATATATATATACTAGATGACCCGACAGACGTTGTCCTGTACCCACATCTACATTTTTTTAATATCCTATACTAATATTTACACCGTTCAGTTAAAAATAATAATTATTGTTTTTCGAATTACTATTCACACAAATATATGAGTGATGTTAAATGTAGAACTGCTTCAAATAAAATGATGATTCTCAATTCCCACAGTTAACACTTTAATTATCCCTAAATATTAAAATATGTTCAATAAAATTGTATAAAAAATCATACAGTGAAATTTATAGAACAAATTTATTTCCTATAGCTCAATTTATTTTAATGCCAAGGGTTATCCAAAATGTTTAGTTATTCATGTAGATGTAGATGTATAAATAAATGATTTTTTGTTTATTCAGGACAAAAACATCGATTTTCCAAATTTATCACACAAAAATTCATCGTCTGCCTTTGTGATTTATGACATATGATATACGAATTAGAAAATGCAGTCATTTGAATAGTATAACGAATTCAAAAAGAATTAATATATAGTATCCGCGATAAAGGTACAATATCACCTTGAAAATAATAAAATTACACCACAGAGAGGGATGTCATCCCCCCGGGAAGTGGCAAAGGAGTCTAAATTATTTTCACTTTTGAACTTGATAGTAAGATAAACCTAATTCCAAAACTTCATACAAATTGGAGCATAGTAAAAAAATTCAGAACCAAACCACTCTATTGACTTGAGTAAATATTCCGTATCCATGGAGTGCCAAACATATAAATTTTTGACACAATGAAACTTCTAAATAATTGTTTGAATAAGTAAATTATTTTTGTATCGTGATTTAGTAAAGTAAGGCAAAACACGACTGCATTTAAAAGTTAAAAAATAATAATCAGTCAAAGTGAATTATAGGCTAAGTTTGATGTGCGACCACTGACATACGCATGCGCAGACTGCATCACCTGTCAGATGTTGACAGTAAATCTTATATTATTTTAATTTTTAACACATCTCAGCTGCTTTTTGGCAATAATAAGGTAGTCAATACATTTTTCTTATTCATAATCAAAAATATATTATATTTTAATATTATCTTAGCCTATAAGTGAATGGAAATGTTTGGCAAATGATAGTCTTCATTTGTTTTTAATGTCAAACAATGCCTCAAATATTTTCAATGTCAATCAATTATAAGCGGTTTTTTGTATTTTTTTTCATTTATTTCTACAATCTAACTATATTTCTATAAATCAAACAAACCTTAAAAATTCCCTTAACTGCCGAAAGATTTATGAAAATCCGAATAATCGTTTAGGAAGATTACCTTTCATACACCATTACAGAAGAATTTTATATATAAGATATATATATATATATATATTATATATATATATATATATATATATATATAAAGGCAGACAAAAAATTATACAACATCCAAGTGCAGATTTGATAAATGTTTCGGAGGCTAAAAGTGCGTGAACAAATGATCGTCCAGTTTTTATTAATAGCTGTGCGCCCCCCTAGATGACCTCGGCACGATACGATGTATATATATTTATATATTTATACAAATGCCCCCCTAAGTCGCTTTTTTACAAGAAAATAAATACAGCATAGAATGCATATAGTGTTAAGATTTTTATATACGAGGATTTCGACTTATCATTGTGATCATTTTAATATTACATGAAATAGTTTATTGAACAATGTTATTATATAAAATCTAACTAGTGGGGCGCATGGCATTGTGCCTTAAGGCAAATTGCTAGAACTTCCCGTACCAAAAATTATTGTTTTAAAAAAGATTGACATTTTTGAAAAAATTTTACATTGAAAAAATAAGATTTTTGAGAAACTATAAATTTTTGACAAAAATTTACTTTTTTTTTCAAAAAAAAAGACTTTTTGAAAAAAATGTTTTCTTTATTTTAAAATGTTTGGAAATATATTGGAACTTTTATAAACGCACTAATTATGCTATGTACTTGAAATATGTAAATCGAAAAATTGCAAAAAAAAACAAAAATGTAAATTTTTATATATCTTTGCGTTTCAAAACCTTCTGAACATTTTAGCATACCTTAGAAAAAATGTATGTATATGCGGATGCAATTTTTCGTCGACGATTTCAACAACGCGGATAAACCGATTTGTATTATTCAAAAAACATTCGATTCCTATTAGTAAGGAGACGAGCTGATTTTTGGACAAGGCAGGCCCAGCCGTTTCAAAGATACAGAGCAAAAAGTGCGACCAAAAATGATATTTAGACATATGCATATCAAGTTATCAGATATTTTATAGAGATTCGCAACGCGGCGCTTACGCGCTTCGATATTTTGCCTCTAAAACAGCTAAGCAGCGCTATTGATTTAAGAAAAAATCTAAATTTAAATTTGTTATTATTTATCAATATTACTAGATGTTAATAATTTAACAGTTGTAATACTTATTGAAATTAAAAAAAAAAAAAATTTAGAACATAAAAAAAGCAAAAAGTATTTTTTTTCGAGAATCTCAAAACATAATTTTTTCAAAGTTTTCAAATTTAAAGCTTTATTAAAATTTCCAGCAATTTGGCTTAAGGCACAATGCCATGCACTACCAGTTAGTAACAATTATCTTCTTATCTGTGTGTCAACTACTAAATGATGACACAGATCTAGAGTCAAAACGTGCACAAGTCGAACAAATGTTATAATGACATAGTGACACATTTGTGCCATTTGGAGGTTAGGTTTTGGAAGTTGATATTGTGTAATCGAATTATAGGCAATTATATGAGGCTAAGTAAAACAAATTTTTGTTTTTGTAAATTTTTTTAAAGAAATTTAAATTTGGACAGATATTTGTCAGAAAATATGATTTGACTAAAATTTGTTGATAGATTAACTGCGCTTATTTGCCATTTTTAGCGATATGACTCACAATTTATATTATATATATATATATATATATATATATATATATATAAATGTGTATATCATTCTGTTTCGATGTCGGAATAAATGTTTCGTGAATAATTCGAATACAATGTTCTTCTTTCTGGGACCAATGTCTCCTACTCAAAGTCATATTGGCCGAATCACACGCTACGCCGCACTCCCCTATATACTTAAAGTCGAAGCACTCGGATCATAAATATAGAATTTTATATTATATATACATATATACATATATCTACAAGAGAAGGAACCAACACATCTGTAATTCAAAAAATCCAAATCAGTATAAGACAACGTTTTCGAAACATGTAATTAGTTTAAACCATACTTTTATTACCAAAAATCCTATTATTTTTAAGGAAAAGAATAGTGACCTCAGAAAATTTGCTGAATCTGTATTTATCTTTTTTAAACCCCCTTTGCTTTAATAAACAAAATTCTGCTCTGTTAGTACATGACTCTTATTATAATATTATCATTTTTTTTTAAAATAATTTTTCAAATCTTTGACTCTTGTGGCTTTCGATTAGTCTTTTTGATCTTATATTTCATATTTTTGTATTTTATTTTCTCTAATTTTATTTCGTGTGACCTCGGTTTTTCATCGGGTGTGCTCGGTTCTTTGCTTGCAACTTACATTACACAAATCTTTAGTTTAAATTTAAAATTATGTTTTTTTACATTTATTATTGTTTATTTTGTATATGTTATTTTAAATTTTTGTTATTGTTTTTCCTGGTGTGGTATGTATAGATTTTTTACTTGTCATTTTATTTCTTAATCTATAATATATTTTATATTTAATCTTTTTTAAACTTTGTAAAAATTCTTTTAAGAAAAAAAAATTGCTGAATGATGACATACAACCGTGTCGAAACGTGAAAATAAATAGCTCATTATTTATTGTTTCTTTTATTTCGACGATTGGCTGCACAATAACATTCAAGAATGTCTCAACGTCAAACAAAAAAAAATAAAATAAAAAATCTAAATCTTAAATATATATATATATATATATATATATATATATATATTTAAAGAGTACTAGCAGTATGTAAGCAATAATTACCAATAAACGTTTCGATCTAGATGTGTGTCATCACTTAGCAATTAGAACGAGACAAATACTCATACAGGCATACAAGGAAATTGTTACTAAAATAGTAAAAACAAAATAAAAATAGACTAATAAAATTAAGAAACTAAGTACGACTGTTGAACATATATTTTTCAAACAATTTGAACAGTCTGAACAATCTTCATTTCCAAAAACACTATAGCCAACCTAAATATTGTAAATTTTCAAAATCACTTCAGATAAAAAAAAATTTTAAAAATATTTTCTCAAAAATAAACGTCTCCCCTGATCTTATCTTATGACTTGCAACATAAAAAATATTATTTATTTTATTATCGCGCGTGCATATATTTACTTAATCCATGACGTCACAATGTAAGGGTGGTCAGTCAGTCAGTCAATCAGGGCTACTGCCTCTTTTTTACCCAAGGGGGCACCATATAAGGGTCGGACACACAAGGCACAAGGTGTTTACATAAATTTACTCCGAGACACCGGTTTCGTAATAAAAAAGATAAATAGATGGTAAACTTGCTATCACAGATAAAATAATAAAAACAAAAAGAGAGGTCAGTTGGAGACGTTCAGGTTATGTCTCAAACTAAATAAGATACTTATTGTAGATATTTTATCTAAAGATAAAATATTTACAATAAGTACTTTACTAATTTAAATTTTATTACTATTTTATTAAAATAGAAATCTTATCCAAATTTTTTTACCTGAACTCGCCAGTCTGGAGCTGGTGGGCCCAAACATCTGATACGGATCTGTAATTAAAAAAATCAAGTATGAATAAATTATAAAATGTAATAACTGAAGACGTAAAAATTTATTAGGCGTGCAAAAAGTCATTTCTAGATGCTCTCAGATTGCTAATTAATTCATAAGAGGGACTTTTTGTGAAGAAGGATGAGTACAGCGACACTGGTGTGCGATTATGGAACTAATTACGGTCGTAAAGGACAATCATAGATAAACAAGTGTGGGTTCAAAATAGACAGGGCATCCAAATAAATGAGAGTGACACATGTCATAATAATTTTTGAAAACAAATATTTTGTAAACATTTTTATAAAGTTGGAAATTATATAATTACAAATTAAATCATTTCCACACAAGTATAAATAGTGTTGTAGCACTAGTAAGAAGATGTGAAGATTTATAAACATTTAAAATTCCGTTAAGACGATTTCTCTGGTCAATAAGTATAGACAAATGCTTTTAGAGTCGTATTATGCGGAAAACTATCAGAAGTATCATCTTTTTAACGTGGTTCATAAATTGTATAACCATCTTCTTCAAAGTTTTCGTAAAGGAGCACAGCGACACTTGTAAATGATTTTGAAACTAATGAGACGTCCATTAATCACGTGATCGATTTTTAACCTTTTTGAACACCTTGGTGACAGGTGGTGATATTTTTTTGCATTCCAATTACCATTGATCAAATCATTTTATTATTTTAAACTCTTGACATTCATGATGTCAGATGCCATATAGTTAAACCCTTACGTCTTCACATCCCGCCCTGAAAAATTCTATTTACACTACCTTAGTAAAAATGTAATTTTTAATATCCAGAACAGTGGTTACTTCTGTCTCCGACCACCAGGGTCTCTAGTACACGTGTTGATTTACAGAGGGCGCAGTTATTATGTTTGCCCTGTCGCATTATTGTGTTTGATTTGTCCCAAGGGACAAACAACCTACGACTACAATATAAATATATCGAATATCTATATATCAGTAAGAAAGTAATAAAATATCGATTTATAAATTTTACTTACACCTACATTATCCACATACTAGTGTAAAAAATTAACACGTATAAGATTTTTACATAAGGGGCGCTGCCACCCTTCTCGGACAATGAATTTATGACCGTGGTCGTGTGCCCTCGGTCTATTGTTATTCATAATTTCGCATTAATAAACTAACTTAAACCGCCCTAACAAAAGTAATAATTTTTGTGCAAGAGGGTGAATAAAATTAAAATTAGTCGTTTTCGGACTTCGGGCGGTAATTATTGCGAGAACATAACCTTAAATATTGTAGAAAGTAATTGTAACAAAAGATAATCATGATGGAAACGTAACCTCAAAATCACGGAAATCGTATACATTTGTCTGCTTTACTCTTCTCATCGTTACCCTCATTTGTCACATACCCGATTTTAGCTACAGTGTATACATACCTCTGATCCTTTTCAGAGTTATTCAAAAGATTGTGAAACATGCCACATATATACATAACCTCAAATTTCGGACAATCCTATGGAGTATCCTATGGAGCCCTTACCTTCTTCTACTTTCCTAATTGTTTCCTTCACACAAACGTAACCTTCTTCATTTATTTTATTAACAGATAGATCTTGTCGGCTGTGCTTAAAGTCCAAGTCTCTGATCCTTGCAGAGTAATTAAAAAAATTGTAAACTACAGGCAATCGTGTAGAGTCCTTTTCCTCTTCCACTTTTCTAATTGTTTCTTTATGTCACCTTTTTCATTCATTTTATAATCAGGTAGTTTTTATTGGCTTTGCCTAAAGTTCAGGTCTCTGATCCTTGCAGAGCAATTCGAAAGATAGTAAAGTATGGCCTATAAAGCCTATCTTTGTAGATCGCTCTTATCATAAAGAGTCCCACCCAGTTTCCTTTTCTTTTCACAATCGTGTTCAGCAGAGTTCCTCTGCGGTACATCTTAATTTGACACCTTGTCCTATTCGGTCTTCTCCACACCATATCTTAGAACTTTTGATGTAGTTCTTCAGAGTCCATACTTCTGATCAGCATAGAGCCATGCGCCAATAAACAAACAATTTTTACCAAATTGCCAAAGTGATTTTTACAAAGTTTCAGTTTCTTTTTTAAAGGGAGATTCAGTTGCCAGTCAGTAAAGATCTTGGAGTCCGAGTATCTATTCCGTAAAGAGTCCCATGTTTCAAGTATATATATATATATATATATATATATATATATATATATATATTCTCGGGGTGCAGACAGAAAAAATGTGTCTGAATCATCCCCTTTTCGCATAAAATCAGAAAAGGGGTTCCACGTATCACAATAGACTTAGTTTAGTAATGCGTACAAGTTATCATGTTCTGAGGGTTGCCCGAGACGTTTTATGGATTTTTCATACACACACACTGTCCTACAAATTAGCCACACAATGAACAAAAGGACACAAAAAAAATTGATGATAAGATAGTTAGAACTAAAGCCGGTTAAATTGAGGTTATGTCTACTACTCTATTTTTAATTACCCGAAAAAGATCTTTATGTCTTTGCCAGAAAATCTGATTTGCCAACTTTATAGTTTCTCGACGGTTCAAGTCATTCTGAATCATCTGACATAGAAATTGGATAATGTAGGATTGGAGTTTGGAGTATATGTAGGATAAAATTTAAATCTAAAATCTGGTAGACATATTCTTAGATATGCTTGTGAAAGTGACCGTATAGTCCAGGCATCTGATCCGCATAGAGCAAAACTTCAAATAGTTTTATCCAATACTTCTACAGACTTTTTTAAACTTCAGTCTTTCCTCAACAATCTTTTCGTAAAATGAATCCAACCTAGTTTGCTTCAGACCTTGATGTTCTTGTTTTCTCTCGCTTTTCACATTGTGCTTTTTGATTTGTCATTTTATCGACGATATCTTCTCCATTCTTCTCCAATTCAGAGAGTCCATGTCTCAGATCCGTGCAGTACTTCATGCAATAAAACAGTGAAATAATTACTCTATTAAAGTTTTTCAAGTTAGATTCTACTTGCTCGTTAGTTGAGTTCACTTTTTAATAAAGATCATCCCTGTGATGTCTTCCTCTTAGTGTCCATGTCTCGGATCCGTGCAGAGCTACTTTTCAACCAAAAAAACAGTTTACTAAACATATTAGCAACTTTGAACTGACAATGAGTTTTAGTCCTTTGCCAGCAAAATTGTCTATTCTCTCAGTCCATGTTACTGATGTCTATTAATTGGTCTTTTTGTCAACTAAATCTTGTTACGGAACCTTGATTTTATCCCGGAACCCCCTCGGAGCTCTATTTCAGAGGGGCTCCTCCGTTACTGTATCAAATAACGATTACCTATTACCCAGGAGAAGACTGTTTGGGTAATTGTTTTTGATCATTGTACTATATTGGGCAAAGGAGGGATATTGATTGCAAATTAAGAGTCAGGGATGATAAAAGAAAGTTTTTTCGGGTGAGTTGTTTTTGGAAATTTAATTTACGATAGAACAATCAGGATAAAAAAAAAACATTTTTGTTTTTTGTAACTAAAACAAAAAGTCGTTTTTGTAACTATTTTTGATAACTTCACAATGATTTTAACATGGTGTAGATGGCAACATTGTTACGTAGCTTTTTGCAAAAATTAAAAATAAATCATGTGTACAAATATTAATAATAAATGATATTTTTCAAGACAGGTCCACAATATACATAAATCTCTTCTCATTATTAACAATTAAATTTCCCGCTCTTACTGTCCGTCTAGAATCTAATAATCTTCCTGTTCAAATGATTGTGTGGATTGCCAGATTACTTTTTTGTTTGTCTTTGTTCTTCTCGTAGTAGTTCACCTGTGGCAATACTAATATAAAAGGTTTCGGAGGAAAGTAATTACTGGCAACACCTCTTCACTGACATCTTGATTAAACTTCACTCTTATCGAATTGAAACTTGAGATTTATACAGACACGCACATATATCTTATATATATATATATAATTCTTCAGTACGGATGTATGATTTGATACTTCTCCTAAACGGTTATTCGTATTTTGATAAATCTTTCTTAAGTTTGTTAAAGGAAATTCTTAAGGTTTTATAGAAATATAGTTAGATTGCAGAAAAAAATGCAAAAAATTACAAAAAAACATTTATCATTGTTTGGCATTGAAAATATTTGAGACATTGTTTGGCATTGAAAACAAATGAAAACTGTCATCTGTCAAAAATTTCAATTTACTTATGAGTCTAGACAATAATAGAATATGTATAATAAATTCATGATTATAAATAAGAAAAATCTAATGCTTACATTATTAGCCCAAAAGCAGCTGAGATGTGCCAAAAATCAAAATAAATATAAGATACAGTATATGCATAGCTGGGCACCGTTAATCAAATAGTTAACTTCGTTAATCGTTAATCCGCTACAATAAAAGTTAACTTCGTTAAACGTTAAAGCGTTACATTTCGGAAGAATTAACGCAAGTTAACGTTAATCGTTAATCCGTTAATATGTGTAAAATTACATTTTTATATCGTTGCGTTAGTGAACTTAAAAAACTTATTAGTTTAGGTTCTGGAAGTTAACAGGTTATGAATAAAACAAAATACTTGTATAATTCAAATGTGTAATTTAACCCCTCGCGCGTTTTATGCACACTTCCGTGTGTATAAGAAAAATGGCACAATTATCACATACCGTGATAACGCTATTGGTCAACTTTCCGTTTTTATGATTGCATATTGTTTTTACAAGAATTTTTTTCTAAATAAAGGGAAAGAGTTTTTTTAACTTCCCGTAGGGCAAGTTATAGTAATCGCAAAAAAATCGAAAATGAAAATTTTTGCATTTCTCGACGTTTCAAAGGTTTCTGAATATTTTGGCATACCTTAGAAAAAATGGATGTATGTGTGTGTGTGTATGTATGTGTATTCGGATACAAATTTTCGTCGACGATTTCGGGAACACGGATCAACCGATTTGAATAATTCAAAAAACATTCGATTCGTATTGATAAGAAGACGT